TAAAAAAAAAAAAATGCAAAATCTTTGCCGATTTAATATTCCGATGCCTTCATGACTAGAACGAGGATAGTGGTTCCAGCTGGTGGACATGATTAATTAATTCAAACTGAAATAAAACTCGAAGATCAAAACATTTCTTCAACAAAGTTGAAAAAGGAATCGAGCTGAATTTAAGTCAATTTATGTTAGAATTTGGGAGTGCCAGGGAATAAAAGACAAATGTTATAAAGTAGTCTAAAATATAACTAACGTCTTTTCCTCTGAAAAAAAACCCTTTAAATATCCGCATCAGTGAGTTTAATTCTGATGTCCTTAAACATTGCAATGCAGGCGTCTACGTGAGCAAAGAGCAGATAGATATGAGTTATCTTCTCTTATGAGTAAGAGTGGATGTGAAGAAAGGAAATGTTAATATTGAGCAAGATGTGAAAGCAATTGAAAACAAACATTTTCATCACGTGGAAATTAATACTCAAGAAAATAACTACCTGGACCTACAAATGCCTTGAAGAAGGTGTTCAGCTGCATTTGGTTGTAACCATATATCATCTCCAGGAGAACGTTCCTTCAATTTAAGTGCTATGAAATCCTAAAACAAAGTATAGCAACAACATCATCCAGTATGATGAAGGACCTGTAATTAACCGTGGTATTTACCTGACAGACTGTGATGCATTATTTGATGTCATGCAAATGCCAAGAAACACAAATACATCTTTGAAGAATGCTAATATCTTCCGAAAAATGAGATGAAAGAAAACCGAGACGGTGATCAACTTGACACAGATGATGATGATGATGATGGTGGTGGTGGTGGTGGTGGTGGTGATGATGATGATGGTGGTGGTGATGATGATGGTGGTGGTGACGACGACGACGATGATGATGACGATGATGATAATCGGGCTGTCATTAAATTGCAAAAAAGAGAAAAAAGCAGTAGAGATAATGAAAGAAGGTTTTATGATCTGTCCATAACAACAAAGAGACATATCCTAAGAACTAGTACTAAGAAAGCCTAATGTTTTGCACATGGTGAAGTTGCTACCATACAAATATTTAACACTTATTAGGAGATATATAAGCAGGTCACGCGATCCATGGAAGGCGAACGGATTAAATATAATACGTAGGTCATACTGTCGGTAGAAAGAAAATGGACTGAGTATGATATACAGGTCATACTGTCAGTAGAAAAGAAACGGACTAAGTATATGTTACGCAAGTCATACTGTTGGTAGAAAGAAAACTGAGTATGATACGCAGGTCAGGCTGTCAGTAGAAAGAAAATGGGCTAAGTATAATACGCAGGTCAGGCTGTCAGTAGAAAGAAAACTGAGTATGATACGCAGGTCAGGCTGTCAGTAGAAAGAAAATGGGCTAAGTATAATACGCAGGTCAGGCTGTCAGTAGAAAGAAAACTGAGTATGATACGCAGGTCAGGCTGTCAGTAGAAAGAAAACGGACTGAGTATGATACATTGGTCAGGTTGTAGGTAGCAAAATAAAAATGGACTGAATATGATACGCAGGTCAAGCTTTCGGTTGAAAGAAAACAAACCGAGAATGAATACAATTCTGAGGGAAATATGTTCTTCAGAACGTCAATTCTGATCATGAAATCTTTGACACTTGTCGCACCCTGTACAGAGAACCTTGACCAAACCGATAGACAGCCTGTAGAGAAAAAACAATGAAACTCGTTATTCTAACTATAAGCCGACAGAATAATTTACTAGCTTTCTGTCCAGAACATTGCGCTTTTGTGTTGACATTTTGAAGCTCTGCCAAATTACTAACGGAGGAGTAATAGTTAATTTTTTATATATTAGTGGCAGATGAACAGGTTACTGACTACATAAACATCATTCTGTATTAAAAACATAGCAACACCAAAGTGGAATATCATGATTTTATATATATATATATATATATATATATATATATATATATATATATATATATATATATATATATATATATATATATATATATATATATATATATATATATGCAATAAACTGACGACGAACAGTGCGAAACTAGTAACTAACTAGCCTGGGAGCTTTTGACTCTTAATGAGTCTTTTTCAAAGGCAAATACAAAACATATATAAGACAAACAAATAAACACAAAAACATTATGTTTGTAAACATCTACATAGCTGTTTCCACATGAGGTAAAACTATAAAGACAACCAGCTTGCATAAACTTGTTGCGGATACTGAAAACTGTATAATTCTCTAAAAGTCTACAAGCCAAAGCGACATCTATTTTTACTTTTTTGTACATTTATGTAACTCAGATTCCCGGATATTTGATTCTATACCGATTATTCTTATAGTAAAAATTGAAGGATACTAAGAAGATTTAGAAAAAGTTAAATTCTACTAGTGAATAGTTTTCTTTTTCTAGTCTTGGTTTCACTGTTCTAAGGAGGCGTATCCAGAATGATTCCTTTTCCTTCCTGGTTTCGGAACTCCAGCTGTGGTTCTTTGCAATAGCGATAAGTGTTATATCACTGAAAGTGTAGCCAGGGGAGGAGAAGTGTTCTGCGACCGGGCTTCTGTACAGCTTTTTTGTCATCCAATCATATCTATGAAGGTTTATCCTTTTGTGTAGCTTTTCAGTTTCTCCGACGTACTGAAGGCCAGATATCTTACATGTGATGAGATAAATCACATTCTCTGTTTTGCACGTTTTGTTTGGACCATGTATGTTTAGTTTTTCTTTAGTCACTGTGCTAGTAAATGTCTTGGTCTCTATCATATGTTGACAAGTTTTGCATCTTTTATCGCCACCGAGTCCAGATTGACTAGGTTGGTTTTGACTAGCGATTGGCGTTAGCTTTGCCCTGACTAAGATGTCCTTTAGGTTTTCTGGTTTTTTGAGTTTTTGAAAGGGTTGTTATTCACCATATGATTTGTATTCTTTATATATATATATATATATATATATATATATATATATATATATATATATATATATATATATATATATATATATATATATATAATTTACTAATTGATAGGAGATTATAAATGTTTTCATACAAAGGCATAAATGTAGTTGTCTCTTTAATGTTCTGTATGAATAAACAGTATCAAATAGTAAATTTAATTACGAATTTAAACAAGCGTAGGTCATAAAAAAAACCGTAAAGCCTTTAGCCCATAAAGATGTAAGAATGAAGAATATTTTTGTTTATATGGTTTATTAATTTTTCAGCATCTATTGACGATAGTGTGTTTTATTAAAAGCAAGCATTTTCAAGAGAAAGATCAAAACATGCACTGTTCAAATTAATCATTTTTTTGCACAATAGCCAAGAGTGTGAGAAAACAAATAATGGGACATTTTATCTTTCTTAACTGTCTGCTTTTTTATACTCATATACGTAGGAAAGTCACACGGTGAGTCAATGGAAAAAAAAAAACAGTCCTTGCTTATTTGTTTTTTTTTTATTCCAAGTTTTGTTATTGTCCTGAAGGTTGTCATGGAAGTGTGCATTAGCAGTGTGATAACGGAAAATCTTTGGTCGCAGACTTAGATCAGGCCTGATGTCCCACCCACATGTGTTACGAGTTACTAAGTGAGACAGAAGATGCAATGGTGAGTTGGTTAGAGTGATGGACTCGTAAACTAAAGAATGTGGGTTCGAAACCTACCATTGCATCACCACCAGCCACTCGGCTGAATTAGTTTTACATTAGGCAAATGACTTTACTCATATTGTCTCCTCATAAAAATAATCTCCACACAAAATAACCTGATTTGTGTTTGTGTGCCATGAATACCAAACCAAAACCTGGTTATGCGTATTTATTTATGTCTATCTTCAGCATCTGTGCCTTGACATGGGTACACTTGCAAATGCCCGAATTAGTGCTGCCTATTTTAACATCAGCTGACTTCTAACTACTTCATGATTATTACCAACTTAGAAGTCAAGATCAAGTCTGCATACTCGTGATTTTATTGCGAAATTGTGTGAACTTAGTCAGAGTACAGCAAAGGTCACATATGCTCCATGGGCAACTGAGAAAGTAAGATTAAGTCCAACAAGACATCCGAACGAGCGATGGCCTTGCAAAAGTAAATGAGTCCAATAATGCGTCCGAACGAGCGGAGGCCAATCAGAAGTCTGTATGTTCAGAAAAATGTCCGAACACGTGAAGGTTTTGCAGAATAAATCAATGAAAAAGTACGTTCAAACGCGTGAAATACTTGCAGAATAAATCCGTCCAACAATATATCCGAACGCGTGAAGTCTTTGCAGAATAAATCAATGCAAAAGTACATCAGAACGCGTGAAGGCTTTGCAGAATGAATCCGTCCAACAATACGTCTGAACGCGTGAAGGCTTTGCAGAATAAATCCGTCCAACAATACGTCCGAACGCGTGAAGGCTTTGCATAAGTCAGTCAATCCAGTCCTCGCTCCGAACGAGTGAAGAATTTGCATAATCCAATAATACGTCTGAACGAGTGAAGGATTTGTAGAATCCAACAATACGTCTGAACGAGTGAAGGATTTGCAGAATCCAACAATAAGTCTGAACGAGTGAAGGATTTGCAGAATCCAACAATACGTCTGAACGAGTGCAGATCTTGCAGAAGTCAATCAGTGTTTTAATAACTTTCTATCCGATGTTTATTTGCTGTATCAAAATTTGTTTACCAGTATAAATCAATCTTTTGATAGTTTTTTGTAATGTACTATCAAAATATTATCCACTTAGCGAAGTGAAAGTTTATTGCTCATATTTGCTATTATTATTATTATTATTATTATTATTATTATTATTATTATTATTATTATTATTATTATTATTATTTCTGAATTTTAAGAGTCACTTATGGTCGTTTATGCTACTTCAAAAAATAGTATTTGTTAATTTCAAATCTGACAGATCACTAATGAGTCTGTCTTCCAGTATTAAACTCAGCATCTTCATCTAAGGAAACGTCAGCTGCTTTAATCTCGAAGGCAAACCTCTCTGTTCTCCTAGTGGTTAGAGCGTCCGCCTCGGATGCGGAAGGTAGCGAGTTCGAACCCCGGCTGAGTCATACCAAAGACTTTAAATAAATGGTGCTCACAGCTGCCTCGCTCGGCGTTCTGCATTAAGAGGTTAGTGATAGGACTGATTGGCTTGGTGCCAGGATAATGTGACTGGGTGTGGCATCATGACACATATCTGTGGCATGATGCCCCAGTGCTAGACACCACTATAAATTGTAACACTGCAGACATCGTAGTGATATGACTGACAAATTATTAAAGCTACTTTAAAATTCTAAATTACACATCACACATACTCATCACAATCTCGAAGGCAGGATTTATCTTTACTTGTGCATTGTCGACTATTATATATCTACCTTTCTTCTTCTTCTTCTTCTTCTTCTTCTTCTTCTTCTTCTTCTTCTTCTTCTTCTTCTTCTTGTTCTTGTTATTGTTATTATTATTATTATTATTATTATTATTATTATTATTATTATTATTATTATTATTATTATTATTATTCGGTCGAGTCGTACCAAAGACTTACAAAAATGGTACTAACAGCTGCCTCGTTTGACGCTCATAATTAAGAGGTTAGTGTTAAGACTGGTCAGCCTGGTGTCAGGATAATGTGACTTTGTTGGACATGAGGTTTCATGTCTGCGGCATGATGCTCCAGTGCTAGACATACTACAAACTGCCACACTGCAGATATCGTAGCGATATAACTGAAAAATTGTTATAGCTACGTTAAAAATCGAAATCACATCACATCACATCACATTCTTCTTCTTCTTCTTCTTCTTCTTCTTCTTCTTCTTCTTCTTCTTCTTCTTATTATTATTATTATTATTATTATTATTATTATTATTATTATTATTATTATTATTATTATTAGTAGTAGTAGTAGTAGTAGTAGTAGTAGTAGTAGTAGTAGTAGTAGTAGTAGTAGTCTTATCACTGTGATAATTAATATTATTAGAAATTTTTTAGGGTTCCATTGTGAACTATAGAGGTCCTTTCCAAATAGTTCTAGAAATCTTATGACGCTTACTGTGTCTGTTATTATTTATCAAGTAATTAAGCAAATAGTTATGCATTCATTAGTTAAGATCATACTGTGGAGTTTTAATGTTTTTATAACATTTGACCTTTGGAGTCAATATTTGCCCTATAAAGAAAAGTATAATCATTGTAAAATACTGTCTTTTCCCGTCGAGATGCCATTTGGCCATTGTTTGTAATTTTCTTCAAAATGTATTTTCTTTTGCAGCTTCATAACCATGCTTGACTTCCCTCTCCATCTCAAACTTACAACTGTTTACTGTTTTAAAAACCGTGTAATTTGTTGTTTTTTTAATTATAAAAAAAAACTGTCAAAAATGTTATATTGGAATATTGTAAATACCAATTACATTTGTATTTTCCCTGTTCTCGGAGTTCTCAGCAATGATGGTGCCAGTCAGGTTTCATTAAACTGATATATAAGGTAAAACTTTAAATCTATTGACAAGAGAAGAAAATGTTTAATTGTTTTCGTGAAGAAACTCTTTGCTGACACAATCTACAACCCTTGGGGTATCAGTGATCTACACCTCTAGTATTGAAGACCGTAGGAGGTGTTGTAAGACAAACAAACAATGTCACTTATGAAATATATTGTAACACAATATCAACTCGCTTCTTTGAACGCATTGTACCATTAAGACAACATAAAATACGTGTCTTTGGTTTAGATTATTGTGGCCTTATTTTTGAAAATTACGACCTGGTAATATTTCCAGAGAATGTAATTTTTGGCCCTGAATTTAGGTTAGAAAATACTTTTCTTTCCACTGTCGTCAACCCATTATAAAAGTATGCTTTTCTTTTCAGTTTCCAAGAAGGTATGGGGCAAATTAATTCTTTTGAAATTTAAATTAATTAATTTATTAACTTACCCTAGTTCATATATTACATCAGAAACCTTTGATTTAAAAGTTCATTACATATAGTGTTGTTTACGTTGTCTACATTTCGCTTTTTCTATTTTAGTATGCAACAATTTTGTCGTGCTTGTAGATATTGTACAAATTATATTTCCTCAGTCCGCATAGACTCGAGTATCAACAAGTGTTCAAAAGTTAAATCTCAGGCCGTGGGAAATAAACATAGTACAGTTGCTAGATTGTTATTTTTTATTCTAAAGTATTTTCTTGACATGGTTATAGGGTTAAACATCTTACACCCTAAACTGCCGACAAAGTATTCATTTATAAAAATGCTTAGTGTCAGAACCTATGCGTAATCGCTGTTACATTGTGAGAAATGACTCTCGTGCAAATTAACTTACAATTTGGCGGCCTTGAATTTACTGCTAACAAATTAAGTAGATATTAACTCTTTATGTACAAATTATATTTATTCAGTCCGCATAGCTTTGGACTCGAGTATCAACAAAAGTGTTCAAAAGTAAAGTCTTAGGCCGTGGGAAATAAACAGTGTACAGTTGCTAACTTATTTTTTTTTTTCATTCTAAAGTATTTTCTTAACATGGTTATAAGGTTAAATATCTTACACCCTAAACTGCCGACAAAGTATTAATTTATAAAATGCTTAGTGTCAGAACCTACGCGTAATCAGTGCTACATTGTAAGAAATGACTCTCGTGCAAATTAACTTACAATAGGCGGCCTTGAATTCACTGTTAACAAATTAATGCGAAATATAAGTATAAATATTCATAATAGAAATCAACAGTACCAGATAAAACCAGTAACATTTAATTTGGTAAACAAATAATAACTCTGTAATACTTTTATAAGAGCATGGGTTAAATATTAGGATAACTAGGTCAGATTCAATTAAATTATGTTTGTTATGTCCTTGATAAAAAATTTAGTAACATAATTTATAGTGTGAACAGCCAAACGTTTTTAGAATGGAAAATTCCACTAATAATAGACACAGTAGTTTCATAAAATGCTAACTGTGACCTAGGTCAGGTAGAGGGGTTTATAGTTTTGTCAACTCATTCATGCCTTATCATTTTGTATGAGAATCAATATTATTGTTTTGTTCAGATTTTAATTTCAGTGGAATTGTTGGATTCAAATTTTGATTAAAATTATCATTCTCTGAAAATGAAAATTGGTTTTAAATAATATTCTTAGACAGATACTTTAATTTGGAATTACAGTCATTCAGACAAGGATATCCTGGATCATATTATTGTGATTAAATAGAAGACTGTTAGTACATCATTACACTACAGGTAACTTTAGATTAGTATTTTTATTAATACAGGCACATCAACGCTTTCCGCGCTGGATCTTATTTCGAACACCACTGGAGTTTAATTAGAGCGTTACGGATTAGAACTGGTGATAGTATTTTTTTTAATATTAAATTTTCACTTTCTATGCAAGTGAAATGATATATTTGTTGAATGTTGCAAAACTATATTTGATGTTACTAAATTTTTCTAATTCAAATTAAGACAGCTTTTGGGTAGTTATATTACAGCCTGAACCTTTTTATTATTACTCGATGAGATCTAGCGCTGATTTCAGGGACTTTTCATTACCATTAAAATCAACAAATACTCTATTTCTCTAAGTTACAAAGTGAAAATTTCAACGACATTTAAGGTATTTTGAAATAATTCCAAAATTATCTTAATTGTACTATCACAAGTCCAAAACTATAGAAAGTTCACAATGAAATTTCTTGGGGTTGTAAATGTCCTGAAGTATGAATACCCATGAATGTCCTCATGTACTACAATGACATAAACCATAATGTCTTTGAAATAAGCAACATAAGTGTGAACAGAAACAAGCTCTGTAAAATTCAACAATTAATTTATTTCCTAAGAATATAAAGCGAAAGTGTAAAATAAAGAACTTACGGTATTACGATTTAAATCCCAAATAATACTAGAATTATAGACACAAGCCCTAATAATGAAAGTTCTGGGTAAATTTTAGTGGAAATCCTAAGTCCAACGATGTGTTACGTGACAAATGCTCGTACTCAGTAACAAAGAAATGAGTGAAAGCCAACAAACTTTACAAATTAAAAAAAAAATTATTTACCTAGACAAAAGTCTAAAAATAGGTAAATAGGACTTACAGTTTCTGAATATAATCCAAATATGATTCTAAGAATAAAAACACAAGTCCTATCACTAAATAATCCTATAAGAATCCAGATTCGAGTCGCGACGACGTACGAATATGGAGGGCGGTGATGTCAGATGTAGTCGAATGTATGAATATCAACAATTCCTCACTTGCATCAAAATTCTTTTTTCCGAATTATTCCAGAATAAACTTCCATGATTAGCTTTCAATTTTTTTTTTAAATTAGACAATCAACTTGTTGAGTGTCCAGGAGAATCAATTATTGAATACAACCATCAGATGCAGAACAACAAAATATGCTGGCAACAAATTTAGAAAACAAAACACCTTCTTCCTTCAAGGGTTTGAAATACTTTGCCCAAAACAATATTAAGAATGCGTATTTAAACTCAAAACATCACTTCAAATCTCGCGAGATTGGTCATGTGGTCTCTTACTACGCTAAAATTCACACATAGGCTAATGTCACTCCACTTAAAAAGCTAATCATTAAAAGGCTGTTTACAAACAGTGATCAAGCGAATAAAGTATGTCCGTGATACTGACCAATCATTTTAACTTCCTGTTGATATTGTTACCAAGGTAAGACGGAATCAATATCAATTCTCACGTATTACATCTTCATCTTAAATAAACAAACTTTGTGCTAAAGTTATATCTCACTATTAAAAATAGAATCCCGAATCCTAGAAAAATATTCATTGTAATTAAATACAATGAAACAAAAATAAAATCAAAAGAATTTTGAACCATACACACAAGCAATTTAATCACATATATGTAACAGCTGAAAGTGTCGATGTGTCTGTGGTGGCCTGTATCATAGTGTTGTACCAACAGTCTTTTCTTAAAATGCAGTAAAATAATTTCAGGCTTGAATGCACTATAAATCTCAGTGAATATGTATGTCCAATAATCTTTTTTCCTTTTGGCGCTCTGTA